GCCCCAGGCTCCCCGTGCGCTGGGGGCCCACCCACCGGGAGCCAGCAGGCAGAAAGCTAGCCAGCCCGAAGGCTGGCGCTCCCCGCCCACAGCTCCGGATCCAGATTCTTGATGCTCAGAAACCAGGACATAACCAAGCTGCTAAATCTGAAGGTAAATTGTTACACAGCAGTGATAACTGATACAACTGCTCTACAGTCAGTTTCATTACCGGACAGGGCAAATCTGCTCAGCACCAGCACCACCGCCATGGGATTTACTGCATACCTTCTGTGTGCTGAGCAGAGTTGGAAGTACCAGAGTGAACAGAAGAGCTCATATTCCCACCTGCACGGAGCTCCCAGTCTGCTGGAGAAAACAGAGCATAAGTGAAGAAAAAATACTGGGGATGGTGGCACATGCCTGTAATCCCAGCATTTGGGAGGCTGAGGCAGGAGGATCTCTGAGTTTAAGGCCTGTCTGAACTGCATAGGGAAATCCTGTCTCAAAACACAGTACAACGCAACACAACACAACAAAACAACCAAAACCAAAACTAAAACCAAAACCAAAAACAATCAACCTACCCATACAAAAAAAGTGAGAAAAAAATATAGGATGTAAAGCCAGGCATGGTAGTGCATGCCTGTAACCCCAGCACTTTGGGAAGCTGAGGCAGGAGGATCAAAAGTTCAAGCCCAGCCTGAGCTGTCTCAAAAAAATGAAAAAGGATTGTGGATGTAGCTCAGTGCAAAGGGCCTGGGTTCAATTACCAGTCCTACCTCCCCTCAAGATGTTAAAGTTGGATGTATGCGTGTGATAAATACTGCAAAAAATAAAGCTAGCCAACTTTGGGTTCAGCGGCCCTTTGAGAAGGTGACATTTGAGTGATGCTGGTGTCTGACTAGAGTGTGTAGGCAGAGGGAGTAGCCAGTGCAAAGGCCCTGTGGTTGCCGCTGATTTTGCAGCCAGGAGGCCCACACAGGTGCTGCGAAGGGGGAGGGAGGAGTCGGGGAAGGGAGTTGTGCAGCCCGGCAGGCACTTGGGCCTCAGGGGGACTTTGGACTTTCATCCCTATGGGAGAAGACATGAGACTTTCCTTCTGGAGCCTCAGCTTCTCTCTGAGCAGCGAGCAGGGTGGCCCCTGCTTCTGACGGTGGTGCCCGCCTAGGGACACCCTCTCAGGTCCCCGTGTGGTGCAGGGGCCCTGAGTGCCGGGCCCACCTTCCTCTCTCCCCTGTCCTGCCCCTCCCCCATCACATCAGTGTCCGATCCGTTGCAGGGGAAGCGAGCTGCTTCCTTCCTGGCCCTGGCGGGGCTCCGGCTGGCCATTGTGTGCATGGCTTCAAGGTCACCCCCCCAGCCACTTGAGCAAGGGCGTCTGGGGCCAGGGGAGGATCGGCTGAGGGGCTGTGGGGAGGTGGGAAGGCTGGGCCTCCTGGGTCCTGCCGTCTCTGGGCCAAATCCTAGCTGAATAGCTGGGCCAGTGGTCTCCTGTTCTTTGTACCTTTTACTTTTCTTTCTTTCTTTCTTTCTTTTTTGTTAAACAGTTCCTGCCTCTGGGCTCCTTAACTTCCAAAGCACAAAAATCAGCCAGGCCAGCCAGGCATGGTGGCACACATTACCCTTGTAATCCCAGCACTAGGGAGGCTGAGGCAGGAGGACCACTGTGAGTTGGAGGCCAGCCTGGGCTACACAGTGAGTTCAAGAACAGCCAGCACTACATAGCGAGACCCTGTTTTTCAATTTTTTTTTTTTAAACCACTTAATCACTCAGACCAGTCATTAAAAATTGAGCCTCTGGGGCTGGAGATTTAGCTCAGTGGCACAGCGCCTGCCTGGCAAGCGGGAGATCGTGAGTTCCATTCCTGGTACCAGAAAAAAACCAAAAACCAAAAAAAAAAAAAGCTTGTCAAAAATTGAGCCTCCAGCTGCCCTCCCTGAAGAGCCAACTTCCTGGCCAAGGGAGGGGCTGGGGGTGGGAGTACTGGGGATCAAACCCAGGGCCTTTGCACTGAGCTACATCCCCAGCCATTAATTTTAAAATTATTTTTATTTTTTATTTTGAGACAGGGTCTTACTAAGTCACTAAATGCTCGAATTTGAGCTCCCCCTGCCTCAGCGTCCCAGAGTGCTGGAGTTACAGGCCTGAGGCACCCCAGCCGGTTTAGAGACACGCATTTTTAAGGAGCAGCTGGGAGATCCGGCAAAGGCGGCCTCACCTCCCGGGAGGCTTTGAGGCGTCCCGGCAGCTGTGCTCAGGTCGTGCTGCCAGGAGCCGGACGGGAAAGGACTCTCTCGTGCCCGGTTTCCTGGAAGCCACCCGCGGGGTCACCGCGCCGCACACAGGCGATGACACAGGGCGGCCAGGGCCTGCAGGCGGCGGGAAGGAAGCGCGGAACCCGGGCCTCGGCACAGCCTGGCGCGCCCCGCGGAGTCCGGGTTTTCCGGCGCCCAGGCCAAGGCCAGCCCTCGGGGGAGACGCGGGCGCCTGACCCTGCCCGGGGGCACTGGGCTCTCCGAGCTCCGCAGGAGGAGGTTCAGGCCGGCGGGAGACCCGAACAGCGCCCCTGTCTGGTGGCCGCGGGGAGAGGGGAAGCTGGAGCCAGGGCTTCCGCGCCGTGCCTCAGTTTCCTCATCTGTAAAGCTGAGGAACTGGCGATAACTCCTCCAGGGCTGCTTGTAGGCGTTCACTGAGATTGTGCTTGAAAAGGATGAAAAATGGTGCTAAGTGCTTTGGCAGAACTTCTAAGCTGTTGCATTTCTTTTGTTTTTTTTGAGACAAGGTCTCACTAGGCAGTTCAGGCTGGCCTTGAACTCACTATGGCTGGCCTCAAATTTGCAGCGATCCTCCTGCCTCAGCCTCCCCAGTGCTGGGGTCACAGGCGTGTGCCACTGTGCCAGGGGTGCTGCTGTTTTGTGGTTTGCCACTGTCTTAACTGTGAAGGCCGGGGCTGGCATGTTTGGGAGGACACAGTGAGGAGCCCAGAGATGCCCAGGGGACTAGACACCGGGTCCTGGGACACCTGAGCCTCTGCACCCTGAGGACACAAAATCCTCTTGACCTAGAAACCTGAGCTGCTGCTCTCTCCTACCTCTGCCCCAGCTCCCTGTGCCCCTCCTGCCGGCCTCCTTCTGCCCTCCTTTGTGCCAGAACCTGTGTTATCTGGGGCAGCAACAAGCCCAAGAAAAAGACCGCACTTCCCAGGCCCGCCCTGAAGCCAGGGTGATGATGTGACCAAGAGCTGGCTAGTGTAAGTGGGAGTCGTCGGGCTGGATTTTGGGGAAACTTCCTTCCAAGGGCACAGTCCATAAAGAGACTGTGGAGATTTGTGACTTGGAGATTTGTCCCCTTTTTTTCTACTTCATGCTTGGGACATGGATGAAGCAGCTGCAGCTCCAGCAGCCATTTTGGACCATGAGGTGATTGGGAAACTAGAAGCCCTGAGCTAAGGGTAACAGCAGGGAGGTAGAAAGAACTGTGGACCCAGTGACACTGAGGGGCCTCCACTTCATCTCCAAAATACCTGCTTCTGGGCTGTGTGTCATGCTTGGGATCACACCCAAGCCTCATACATGCTAGGTGAGTGGGCTACCACTGAGGTATGCCCCAGCGCTGGGCTGCTTTGTTTTTGTCTTCTTGAGACAGGGTCTCACTATGCAGTTCAGGTTGGCCTTGAGATCACTTTGTAGGCCAGGCTGACCTCAAACTCGCAACGATCCTCCTGCCTCAGCCTCCCGGGTGCTGAGATTATAGGCATGTGCCACCAATTTCAGATTTTATAACCCCGTGCTGGAGGTCTTTACTGCCCAGCTCCACAGGGACATCCCCAGAGGGGCCTCTCTGCCCCTGCCCAAGGCCCCTTTCTCCACCAGCCTGGACTCTGTCCACGCTGCTTCTGACCCGAGACACAGAGCCTCTGCCTTGGGACAGGCGGCTGGGAGGGGCTGCGCTCGGCCCTCTGGAGAGGAGCAGTGGGGCGAGGAGTCTACACCCCACTCCCCGCAACTCTCCTCTTCCTGCTTCGGGCACCATCTGCTCCCAGGGCCTTTTCGGGTGGCTTGGATCACACGGGGGACCAGAAGGTGGGCTCTACTGGGAAAGGGGGCTGCTCCCTGAGCGTGAGCGGGTGGCCAAAGCGCTCCGCTTGGTGCCGCTGGGAAGGGTGGCCTTGGGTCTCCTGGGGAGCAGGACCCTCAGACAGAATCGGGTGCCCCAGAGCGGGCCGGAGTCTGAGCGCACGTGCGCAGCACCGGCGGGAGGGCGGTTAGAAGGAGACGCCACAACGCGTGCATTGACCAGGACGTTTATGCCGGCCGGGCTGAGACAGCAGGGCCCGGGCTCTAACTCTAGGCGGAGACGGAGACGGACGGCAGGACCCCAGCCGCACCCTTGCTGGAGGCCGGAGGGGACAGGACCGCTCTTCTCTCCCGAGGGCTCAGCCGTGGCCTCGCTGCTACTCCAGGGCTGCGGAGAGGACGGGCAAGGGGGGCACAAACGGGACCTCAGCGAGCTGCAGGCCGTGGCCCCCGGTCCCGGCGCCTGCTGCCCCGCCCACCCCGCCGCCCCGCGCGCCGCGCTCAGCCTGTGCCAGGTTCAAGTCAGGAGCGTGGCGCTGGTCCTCGCGCGCGGGAGGCAGCTGGAGAAGAGAGACAGGTGAGAAGCCGTCCGGCCTGGTGGGGGGATGCGGGTGCCACCCCGCGGACAGGGCCGAGGGCCAGGGGCTACTGCTCAGGGGACCCCAGAGAGACTGGGCGAGGGGGTGGTGATTGTGTCCCTGATGTGAAAGCTTCCAGTCTGAGGGTGGCAGGACCATCCCCGGCTCAGGCGCAGGACTCTGAGAGTACCCCGAGTGGAGGCGGCTCCCCACAGGAAGTGACGTCACTCCCAGCGCCTGCAGCTTCCCGCCCAGTGCACCTGCCTCAGTAGCATGGCTCTCAGGCCTCCGGAAACGCCCAGTTAGATGGAGGGGGCACGGGTCTTGACTTTGAGAGCCCCCAGT